ACTGAGACACTAGTTTCCACCTTGTACTGTCGACCCAGTTATTTTGGGGGAAAGGAACATGCATACTGTATAAGGAAGCTAATGCAGGTTAAAAATCAGCTTACAGTAACCTAGCATTAAATTAAAAAAAAAAAAAAAAATTAAAAGTATTTTAAATCTTGCCCTGGTTAATGCACAGGGTCACAAACAGCTTGCAAAAACAACCGCTGGGATAGGAGAAGACAGGGAATAAGCAAGCAGGGAGAAAGAATAGAATTAACACTTAAGCTGCCTCACACCAAAATAAATGGCATAACAAAGGACTGAGAATCTGTAAGTTTCTCATTTCACTCGCATTTGCAGACTACTTCTAGCTTACGCAAGCTTGATGAGTCAATCCACAAATGACTGTGAGGACTGTCCCTGCAGTTAAATGCCACTGCTGATACATTTCTTGAGCCTTGCCTTTAAACAAGAAAAAATGCAACCAGCCACTTCACATGCATTGTCAGGCCAGGCACTGCCATCTCTACATTACTTTTCCAAATCCGAAGAACTGGTAAGTTTACCACAATAGGAGAATTGTCTGTTCCTTCCTTCAGTATTTGAGCAATGATTTAGATCAGCAGTTCAACAGTCATAACTATGGAATTATTTCACAATTTCACATTAAAAAAAGATTTATAAACAGAGATTTTATTTTAGTTAAAAGATACGTAGCTTTTGTAATTTCTCACCTAGTTTTTCCAGAAGTATTTTTAACAACTTTTCGGAATGATTGATTTGCTGAGGATCTTGTAGACATAGTTCTAGGAGAAGCACGAACAAAAGTAGATGGTGGTGTCTTAGGGATCTTCTTTACTAAATGAGTCACCCACTTCTTCTGTTCATCTTGACAGGATGCCAATAACAACATATCTCTTGCTGAAGTTACATCATAACTCACTGTAAGTAAAAGGAGGAAGATGATTCAGTGAAAACTAGGACTCATTATCAAACAAGAATTATGACATACCAGGTGTGCCACTGGAAAGAACAATGGCACCTATATACATACTTGTATTGGAATTGTTTATATATTTTTGGAAGACAACAAACAGCAGGGGAAATTATTAATGCAGTTTCTTTCAGTATTTGTCACTCTGCATTAGGATTCTTGATTCTAACATTAGTATTTAATAAATGAGAAATTTTACACTAATTGCAGTCTTAATAAACTGGAAAGTTGTGTGGATGCCTTATGGCTGAATTCCAGAGTACATACCCCAAATACTCCACAGGAGGACAGACAGGAAACCTTTACTCCAATCTGTGAAGTGGCTGAAGAACCACTCTTCAAGGTCTTAGCGCAGCCTGGCGATGTGGCCACTGCACTGTCCCTAATGTGGGCCAGGTGTAAGACAAAGAACAGTCTGGGAACCAAGGAGCTGCCCAGCACTTGGACACAAACCTCTAAGGACCCTTGTGCTCTCAGGGCCCTCAGCACAGCCACATCACTTACACCACCAAAGGCTTCCCTACAGAGTCTTGCCACAGCTGTCTGTTCATAAGGAGTGTTAACAGACTATTATTTTAATAGCACCTTTCACATCTAAAATCATAAAACTAAAGAATAGAAAACTTTTAAACTGAAGTGCTTTTACGCGCCCTCGATAGTTTATCACGTCTGGCTAAACATGCAGAGAACACAGAACACAAAAAACCACGAGAATACCTTTGCATGGTGCAATTAATTCCTCCTTTTTATCCAAGTGGTCTCTATGGCACTTCACATGGCATCTTCGACATTCTAGGGCAGCAGGGGGTTTAAACACATGCCAAAGAGGTTTGGCACAGGCCTCACAGTTGGCTGGAAAGTGGTATAATGTTGGAATAAATTCATGGCCTTTATGATTTAGAAAATTTGTCTTCTCTGCTGGCTGTACTGGTTCTACCTCCAAATCCTTCCTGCATTCCCCCTCATTAGCATAGAGAATCTGAAAAAGAATACTGCTGTGTTACTGCTGAAACACTACATATTTTTATATACTTCTCAAAGAAGCCGCCAAACTTTTAAAAGTTAAATAGAAATGAGAATACACTTCTTTTTACCTGGAATATTTTAGGAATTTCTTCAGTTTCAGCTCTATATACATCTCCTTGAGTTACAGGCCGGACGTGGAACAGCTTACTAGATTAGGAAAAACGTGAATCAGAAAATGCTAAAAGGCTATGTATGTTTTTTTAAAACAGTTAGGAAAGTGCTTTGAAGTTCTTATAAATCTTGTTTATGAAAGCAATATGATATATTTCAAGGCTGCAATATGATTTTAGGAATTAACTCGGAAAACATATATAATCTTGTCTACCCAAGTAAGACCAAAACATTTCCCTAGCATGGAAAGAGGGTTATCTTACAGTGGGTTCAAGATCCACGATGGCAAATTTACCTGTGAAAAAGGCTTTCAAATTCTTCCTCAAAATACTGGGAAGTCTAACAGATTCTCTCTAGAAAAGCTTATTGATAACCCTGGGTGGAAGTAACCGTATGCAGTAAATTACTACTCACTTTTTTTTTTTTTTTTTTTTTTTTTAACATCACAAAAGACAATCTGGTGCACCAGCTGTTGAAAATGCTATGAAAATTGGAACAAGCATAACCTTATACTGGGTCAAGTCTGTAAGCCCATCTATCCCAACATCCTGTTTTCAACAGTTGCCGTAACAGATGTTTATGAAAAGAGAATAAGAAACAGCTCAAAGAGAAAATAATTCTTTTCCTGGTTATGAGCAATTGGCAGCTTAAGCACTCCCTGAGTTTGAGACTCCTCCAGACCACTGTATTTGTTAGTCAGTGATAGGTCTATTCATGAATTTTAAAACCTTTTTTTTCAGTTACTACTCTGTAAGGTCCCATAACGTTGATCAGCTGTTCAAGCATCACACTCAGTCATGTATCAGCAATGGGCTTCAGTGATATTTGACACAATTTTCTTCATGTATAACCAATGTAAAGGGATCACAATGCATTTATTTTGTCACTCTAAACAGAAGCCATCTGGAAAAGTTAAAAATGCTTTGGGCTTGATCAACACTGATACTTTCCCAGACAGCAAGAAAAAGGTATGAAGCAAGGGGATGAGACCTAAAATCAGCCAGCCAATTCCCCATCTATCCGACAACTATCATGCCCTGCTTTAGAAAGCAGCTGTTGAAGCAACTGGAAAAAACAGTCGTTACATTGAATCACAGAAAAAGATAGAATAATATGTGGGTTCCACTGTCTGCGACCCTTCTCTGTCATAACGAGACAAGGCACTTAATTTCAGTAAATTCAGACCAGTGCCTACAGACAGTGCTACACTATTGGATACTTCACTTCAACTTTTAGCAATAGTAGGACAAAGAAAAAGCACTATCTTCTGTTAACAGCAACCTAAAATACAGATAAAGAGACATTTTCCAACTAGTATTGGAAATTAAAAATTTTTTATGGAATTTTGATTACAAGCTTCTAGATTTGTTGCCAGTTATCTCAGAAACAATGCTCTTTTGTCAATTTCTATCCAAAACTAACAGTAACTTTACTTACTCTATATCTAGTACCATGGATGGATTAGACTGGTCCTTGTCCTTTTCATCATTGTAAAACAGTATCTTTTTACTGCTCACCACAACATACTGGGGAAAGAAAGGGGAAAACCAAGTTAAAATTGCATTTTAAAAAGCAACATTTATCCTACTGCAATCCCACATGCACATAAAAAGCCTGAGTAAATTAAGGTTTTTAAACTAATACCAGGAGATACTTAAATCATCATGCAGGCAGCTATACTACTGACAGCTGTGCAATGCTAAAAGCTGCAGCGACTGTGTATTGCCACAGGAGCCCCCTAAAATGCTTGTCATTACTCTGGAAGTCTATCTGTACAAACTCACAAATTTCAGTTGCTACTAGCAACTTACTATGAAAATTACTGTATCACTGAGAAACTCCTGGAGTGCAGAACCCGTCACTTCTTGATAAAGTTGTAAACAACTCTAGTTCTAGAGACCTGCAGGACTCACTGGTACTTTGTACCAAACTACTGGTAGGCTAAAAGATTCTCACAACTCCAGCTATTTCCTGCACTTTCAATTGAATGCACTGGTAAAACAAAGACCTAAAATGAATCAGCAGAAATAGAGGTCCAGTATACCTTTAAAATCTAGGAATACTCTGAGACAGCAAGGGAAAGATTTGCAGTAGAGGAGAAAAGCAACAGACATTCTTTTGCTACATGTCACTTTAAAGGTCAAACCACACAGCTTTTGCCAGAGTGGTAAAGATGTTAAAGAACAGAAACATTTGGCAATGTGTTGATTATTTTTTTCTCCCAAGTATTTTAAAAGTTCTTGGTCAAAATCTGCTTATTGATATATTATACCTATCTCATACCACTTAAAAAGTGGAGTATTCCAGAATGCATGGGATTCTGGGGAATAAGCAAGAGCTACTGGGAAGGCACTGTGAGTTGTAGAGCAGGAGTGGGCTGCAGGGCCCATTTCCAAGAGAATTCTCAAATGCTGAGTATGCCTGCAGTGTCTACCCCCCTGCCCCAAAAAGCCCAAGGATGTTGTCCTCAACCTAAAGTACAGAGACACCCTTCCAGTGCTGTTCAAAATCACACAGAATTATAAACTTTTGTTGATATGAGAGGAAAAACAAAGCAAGATGCTCAGAGAAAGTTTTGTAACTCAAAGGCCAGTTAAAATCAAACACCTCTAACCTAAGCACTTACACTGAGCTCAAGCCTGTAGAATTCACTGCCTGTTGCTCTGCACGGGGAGGTGCCAGTCCAATGTCTTTGCTAAAACTGTCCATAAGCATGAGGTCAGTGACAGCTATGGCAGTTCCCTCCCCTGTACTTTCAAATGTTTTGTTTTTGTTTTTTTTAAAAAGGTATTAAAAAGTATGAGGTCCTAGAGAGGGTTAAAAAGAGGTAGACTGACTGCTCTGTCTCTACTGAGCTCCAGATTCAGGTATAATATGACCCAGAAGCAGGGGAAAGGGCAGAAAAGCAAGAGAGTGAATAAACAAACAGTTCATCTTGAATACCAATTACTGGTAAGGGACTGGATGGATTTCTGCAGATGGCAATTTAAGTAAGGGGTGTTTACTCCTCCAACAAAAGGAGGTTGAACGTCCTCCTCATTATACAGGACTTTAAGCCTGACCTCAAAACCTGAAAGTTACCTGAACAAGTTTATAGAAGAGTGTTTTAAAAATGTTTTGCACAAGCTGCATGCTAGTTGTACCTCTCAATTAATGAAATGCACCTAAAAAAGCCACAAAGAGTGTTTCTCCCCCTGACTAAAAGGGCTTTCAGCCCCTCAGTCAGGATTCTTTTACAGAAAGCCTGATAAATGTGAATAGGCATTAAGTTGTTATAGTGTGAGCCTCTTGTGATTTTCTCCACTGAAGAAAGAGTTTGTGCTTGAATTCCTTTGATCTACTTCAACAGAAAGCTAATGCCTTCTTTGTCTTTGAAGTATTCACCTCTGCCTTTCACAGACAACAGCAAGGCCTTAAAATAACTACTATAACAAATGCAAATTCTGACTGCAATGGAATTCAGTTATCAGACTGTATCCAAGTCTTTTTGAAAGAACAATTTAACCTCACAAAAGAAAAGTTACATACAACAGCCTCAATATCCCATCGTGAACACACACACACAAAGTCTTCTGACAGTAGTTCTGTTCTACAGTGGTTTTTGAAGGATATTTTTATCATCTCCACTTGGGATTAAATGAATTTCTAGATTAAAATGTGGCTAACACATTTTAGTGTTGGCCTGAGGTATATAACTCAATCATTCAATCTTAAATGAGTTTTCCGCACTCACCCCTTTCTAACTTAAGCTAAATGACTTGGAGGGCATGGGGCAAAAACATCACCACTACTGATATTTGAGTCAGAAATATAGCAGCTCAAGTGGTAACAACTGAGGCATCAATCCAATTGCACTGCTAATGCAATTTTGCTTTTCCTTTAGGTTAATCTGGGCATGCCTATATTAGAGGTTGCATACCTCTCACCAGTCCCAAGCTGAAAGCACAGGAGAATTTGGAAAAGTAGTACCTGAGGAGGCTGACTACAAGACAGCTGTTTTCGGTGTCAGAACAGTTCAGCCAACAGAATACACACCTAAGTCAGCATGGCCCCTCACTACTGTGTCTCACTGGTTTGAACCTCAGCTAGTTTAAGAAATCTCACCAGCATGACTCATTTTATGACAGGGGCATTCATCTCTAGCCCAAATTCCTTCAAAGTGCAAGAACTATTATTCAAACTAGGAAAGTACGAATGAAGTAACTGCCTAAAATATCTTGAGAGAACTAAATATGCCTATACTGGGTATGCCTAAAGAAGCTCAGATATAGTCTTTCATTGGTAAGCTGCATTTATCAGAAGTTTAAAATTTTAGTCATCAGAGGATGCAAGAATAATCTCTATTTTTAGAAGACAACCAGAAAAGGCTGCTAGAAGTATTCTGACAAGAAAATGATGCAGTGTTTTAGATAATCCAGAGCAGAATAAAGCTACGTGAGTTGTGCCTAGACAGAGTCACTTCCATTCATGGACACTGCCAGAAGTCTGACAGCAACCTGGAGAATCAGTTCTGGAACAACAGGAGTCAAGCAGCCTTAGCTATCAAACAGAACAAGTTGTGGAACAGATTTACAAATAGGTGTGTTTTGTGAGACACCTGAAGAACATTCAAATACTATCAGCGTTTGATTCAAATTTGTCACCAAGAACATCCTTGACCTTGCCCTGTAGATTTCCCGCAGTTCTGCTAATAGGGAGACAAAGTGAAATACAAAGAGACCATAAAACAACTGAAAAGCATCTGAGGTGTCTGTAGCAAACCCCACGTTCCAAACTGTAGTAAGCAAGCATTTTCAATATGGCACTTATTTGCACTGCCTCTCATCCAAGGGTCTGGGAGAATACAGTAAGCAGCCATTAGTTGAAACAGGTCAGAGCTTAACACTTGCTCTTCGCAAGATAGAATAGGTGGTGGTTTTAACTTACAGACACATCACTAAGAAGGTCCAATATTGATTGTATAAAGAAGGTCATGTTAGCCAACTGAAAAAGGAGGTGCTTCAAAGAAAGGAGTTCAGTAGCTAAAGGCCCAATACAAACACTGACTGTTCTAAAAGTAAGGAAGACAGAAATGTCCTTGGAGACCATGTGTGGCAAGTTATAGTGTGATGCACTCTTCCATGGCCTTCAGAGCATCTGTGGTATCCTCTGCTGTAAAGCTGCACAAAGAGCTACAGTATTAGGATTATGAAGAAGCTTACTCAAAGGAGAAATGGGTTTTTTAATGGTTCCAAGATGCCTATTGTAAAGCACTTCCTCACCCACCTGTCATATATTTGCACAATGTTATTAGTACAGATTCCATACCGAACTTGAATTTTCTCTCCTTTTTTTTTTTTACATACTAAATTACTCTAATTATTTTGTTTTGTTTCATAATTGTGAGCTATAAAACCAATTCACTGTATGCCTAAAGAACTTTCCAAGGGAGTTGAGGAGGAAGAAGAAGAAGAATCCATTTGTACCTGTTTCTTCCAGCCATGCCGCTTTATATTTCCTTTGTTTGGTATTGAAAGCCAACCTTCAAGTCTTGATTCTAGTTTAAAAAAAAAACCATATTAAATAATTTTTGTATTTATAATAATAAAGCATAATAGCACAAAAGCAAACTATTACCAGAAAGGAAGAGGTACTACATGCAGTAATAGGCAATTACCTATTCAGCAAAGCAGAATAAAAAGCATAGCTAAATGAAATGAAAATATAAGCATTTACTTCATGCTTCATCACAAGCTAACACTTGATGAGTTACTGCAAAATAAATTGAAGCTGTTTTCCTTGATGCCAACATCTAACATTGTATGTAAATATTTTGCAAAGAGCCACACAGGGAAGACTCTGCTTTGAAAATGCGTTACAGCTTAAATGGAGGATGATTAAGAGATTTTCAATATAAACATAATATAACATTCAGAGGGGCTATATGAAAATACTCAGCGGGAAGATGTAGCAAGTAAAACAAACCAGACCCACATTTTCCAAGGGGAAAAAAAAAAAAAAGAGAGCGCACAAGAGCAAGCAAAGCTACACAAGTGTCTCATTACTCACAGAAGGTAAGCATAGGAGATAAATAAATAAGGAATGCAGGAAGAATCAACTAGATATAAAGAATAAGAGACAAGCGTTTTATTTATACTTTCAACAGACAATTTTCCAGAGTAGTGTAATAATGTACTTTCCTGCCATGAAACTACTAAAATAATTTAACAATGATACAAAGAAGTGTCACAGGAAAATTAGCATTCTGCCTAATGTGAATCCTAGATTTAAAAAATGCCTCCAGATAACTGATACTGGTTTTTGATAGATATTTTTTAAATTATGAAGTCAGGTAATAGCAGTTAGAAGCTACTGTGATTCCATTTATCTGAAATGACATTGTAAAAGTGTCACAATTTTGTAAGTGTAAGAATGAAGTAATCAAAATTTCACTGCATAATTATAAACTTATTTCACAAGTAAGAAATTTTTTTTTAATTATTGTAAAAATGTGATCTGTAAAGAAGTGTCATAGCATAGAAATAGAGACAACAGCTAATCTATGCCTTCTTTACAAGAAACTTAACTGGCAGAACTGAAAACTTCAAAAACATTAAGTTAAAATTTGCTGAAACATTCTCCACAAATATTTATGTAAGAAGGAGCTACTGGTCCCTCTTATCCTTCAGAGGTAACTTTGTCAGGTGCAGCCTAGCAAGCTCTGAAAATACATCCAAATATATAAAAGATATTGTCCATGTACTTTGTTATGAAAAATTACAAGGAGACTGACAGCCTAGCCTTCTACAAGGCATTAAAATGAGGCATTAAAAAAAATCCTTCCCACATTAGCCTTAAAGCATACAATATTTAGAAGTGTACTAGATTTAAATATATGGAATAATTTCCTAACATTTCTCCACAAATAATAGCTTCAAAATACCGGGGGACCACTGAACTATTGAAATTCTAACTGGAAGAAAGGCATGTCAGCAGAACTCATTCCAGTAAGAAGCTTTCCTGGAAAAATGAAGGGAATTTGTTATTTCCCTGCCTCTCATAGCTGCATAAGAATTGCAGGGGGTGGGGGTTGCCCCTCCAGAACCCCCCTCATTTCTTGATATGCAGTAACTTCGGAAAAGTAAACCTATTTCCTTCATGTCTGCAGGCATCACAGATAATCCTTACCCTATTTTCAATACTTTGATTAATTTTCACATCAAGAGAAGATTCTTCCCTTTTTAGAAATGTTAGAAATATCCTAAAACTCAAGTCCTCTATTGCAAAATAAAGTGATTAACTGCTAATAAAGATCATGGTATGGAAGACTGTAATTCCAAAGGAATAAGTATGCATCTGTGGAAATTATGGTATATGAAATCTGGATCCAATAATGATAAATTTTAAAAGATGCACCAGGTACTATGCTGCTCATGAGACAGTAAGTAGGAGTTTTTCTAAGTTCACTTCTATTTCAGCACATTCTGAAAGAATTTTGAAAGGAAGTAGAAGGTGGATGAGCTATTACAAGTGCATCAGTTGACATTCTTTTCTGTTTCCTACAAATCTATTTTAGTGAGCAAATTCTATTTGCACGAGAGATGATTTCTGAGCTGTGAATAACATCTTGCAGTTGAAACTAACAGTTTCTGAATTTATTCCTTTTCAACAAACCCAGCATTCGTCTGGAACCAAATGTACTCTTTAAAGGGTAGATGAGCCCTTTCATTCCAACCTTGCCACAAAGGTTTGTCTCAAGTAATATTTATAGTGCATTTTAATTTCTCTTGACAGAGTTAGCTAGCACAACTTCAAATGCTCATCTGGCCATTTCACAAACATCTGATACAGAAGAATAATATTTATGAGTGTTCTGATTAAGTAATTAAGAAAACATGGGCTATCTAGACTACGAAAAAGAATCTTCCATTCCTGTTTTTAAAAATAGGCTCAAAACTATTGCCTGACAACTTCTCTGTATTTTGGAAAGAATCCCAGAATTGATACTTCATATTTCCAATCCAGAAAATCCAAGATAGGCCTCAGAAATATCTGATGGCTAGCTGGACTTGAATAGACTATGAAGAAAGAATTCCATGAAGGCTACAGATCTTATAATTATCTCTGAATATATATATATATATTAAAATATAGATTTTCATTCTAAACATCTTCATGGTTAGTATTCATATTGCCAGAATTCGTTTAGATTCAGTATGAGAAATGTGAGTTCTAACAGTAAGTCGTCAACAAAATCACACAAGACAACCGTGACTGTACTGATTTATGAGACTTTTTGCTGTTTTGGAGCTAATACAGGCAACCTTCACGAGCAGTAGAGCATCTCTTTCCAATGTTCAAGAATTCATACTTCTCAGACTCTTCCACATTAACCACAAATGTGGAGATACTACCCTTGTCATCTGATTCTTTCCTCCCTCAGACTCTCTTACTATAATTTCATGTAGATCTCACCAAGGATTGCTGACTGGATCTTGCTTTGAGATTTATTAAGGTGATGGCTACGTGCAGGTATTTCAGAAAGTTGTACCTGTGCCCCATATTCCAAAAAGATTGTTGGTTTCAATGATCCACATTTGTTATTCCATCATCTTTGTGTAAAACATACTTTATAAAATAGGCTGTAAAATATTACGTGCTGCAGTTAAACCTGTAGGACAGTTCAACTGCTCAAATTATCTTGCCAATCAGATGAAAAGAATTCATTCACATCAAGTTAAGTGCTCTATGAAAGAAAGCCTTAAGTTCTTGATTATCTTTTGTCTTAACAAAGAAGAATTCTGTTTACAATCATGTAAGTACTAAGAATTCTTGAGTCCAACCAGGAGGAAGAGGCATTTCAAAGGCATCATAAAAAGCAAATTAACATTGGAGACATCAACTAAGACATGAGTTGTTATCTGAATCAATAATCAGGAGTGAGAGTTAAGAAAAATGACAAGAACTAAATACAAGGAAAATCTTCCTCAAAGTCATGATCCTTCCCATCTGGTGAAGCAAAAGACTGAGAATAGCCTGGATTGTCTAAACAAGCCAATCCCTACCTTGAAATCAGTGTAAGTTGCCCTCGGAGCTACCAGAACTTGAGGGGTTATTTAGCTCAAGGACAGACAGAAACCACCACCAAGTAAGATGCAGCTGCAACATGTGTTACCATGTGATTTCTTGGTATCTAACTCCAAACACAGAACTAAGTTTTCCCTATTTTTTTCTGAGTATTAGGAATTCATTTTAGTATTATCTTGAGTTTATTCAAAGACTGCAAAGCCGCCTGACATTGAAATTTTACAAGATGCTCTTCCTGTAAATTATGAATTCTACTCTTGTAGCCTCTCTGGTGGCTGGTAACCCAAGCTCCCTGATTAGACAAGACACTACCCCCCAGCCTGAACCTCTCTACCCTGCAGGACAGTGGAAAATGCCTGAGAGCCAGGGATTTCTCTGGAATTCCACCAACATTACTATTACACTGTTTCACACCAAGTTTTTTCTCAATTAAACCAGAGACTGCTCATCACCACAACTGAGACCATTTAATCAAACCAGACTTTTATACACGATTACATTATTTTGCATTTTCATTTTTTCCCCCAGTGCTTTTTTTACTGTGACAGGAAATGGAATATATCATACTGTAATTATTTATTTAGTAATTCTACCATTTATTTGCCTTAAATATTTTTAAGGAATGTCTTTGCCTTAAGAACAGATGCATCAACTAGAAAATCATATTGACTACGCATGAGATCCACCTCTTAAGATGCTATTCAAGGTGCTCTGAAGGAATGTCTATGTTTGGGCTACAGAAGTGATGAGAACTTAGCACACAGTTGAAGACAAACAACTTCACACAACTAAACTGTAGCAAATGAACTGCTGTGGTATGCCACCTTCTGTTTTGAAGACTAATTACTTGGTTTGCAGGAAGATAACTATGCGCTAGGTAATTTCCTCTTTCTGTGGCATGGGGTATTTCTACTTTGAACACTGTTCCCCCCCCCATAACATGAGTGCACTCCTTCTCTGCCCTCTACCTGGCTCTTTGACAAATATGTGAAATCTGATTATACTAATGTCACATAATCTCTTCTAATCACCTAAATTGCTTCTTATTCAGATCCTGATCAGTAAAAAAAAAATGAAGCTTTTTACTAGAAACTCAGTAAAAAATTTAAAAAGTAGCATGTAGGGACATGATCTAAATCTTGAGAAATCCTGATAATGTGTATTAGAAGTCCTACCTGTATGACACAGTAATACCAGCAACACAACTGCAGTAAAACCCAGAGGCATGTGTAGAGAAAAAGGCAAAGAAGATGAGAGAAATGAAAGGCTAGTAAGAAATAAATAGTAAAGGGGTCATGAGTATAGAAGACAAAAAGGAAGACTACAAGAACTTCCAGTAATTATGATGTTCTAATTAACAACAGAAAAGTTACAACTGACTTGAAAAGATCTTGCACATACTGAAATTTCTGCCCCAAAACTAAGTGGCAGCTCATAAAGCCAGAAGCCTAACTACACTCGACTCCAGAGATAAAACTGAAGATAACGTACCTTAATAAGGCAGACTTAAAGAAGACTTAAATATAAGCAGCTAAGTTATGAAATAAAACCAAAAAAAAGTGGAGGTTTAATATAGAAAGAGACAGCCTGAAGATTTTATAAGGACACCACTTGTTTGAAACAATACCTTCCAAAACTATGTGTATGCACAAAGTCAAGTAGTTCAAATAGGTTCTTCTCTTACCTGAAAGATTTCCATCCGTTTCATCTGGCTGGAGACTAGCAACACTGGTAGAATCCATTCCTTGCTGAAGGTCCAAAATTTTCCTTCGTAGTTGTTCTATGTCACTCTCTTTACTATCCAGCTGCATCTGGAGTTCGTTCCTGTATGTAGATTCTTCTGCTAGTTGCTGTATTTATATACACACAATGCATAGTTACTGTGATACCAAAAATATGCCACCCAAGTATTCTGAAAACAAAACTCATTACTATTTTTTAATATCTTTTGATAGCATAAATTATTATAGTAGAAATGTTCATTCAGCCTTAGAAAAAAGTTTAGAATCAAAGATCCAGCAATGCATTCAAGTACAAAACAGTCTGATTAATCTATTAAATTGCCATTCGTTTTGAAAAGGAGACCACCAACCAGTGAAAAAAACTGCACAGACAGTATGCTACACAGTATTCAGTTTTTTAGTCTTCACGATATATCAGCAACTTCCACAGTTAAGAATTTAGAAAAGAGAAATGAGAACAAGCACAGCTGCACACTTGTCAAGTTCTCTGCCTCACTAAAATTCTCTAGCCTAGAACATCTGAAACAGAACTTGTCATTTTTTCAAGTAGACTAGAAGCTACACATTTTTCCACAATGTGACAAAAACATTAAGATTATTTTACCGCTTGCATTTCGTTGAGTTCCTTTTGGTATTTCACTACCATCTGATTGAATTTCTCTTTTTCTTGATTAAGCTCTAACTGGAGCTTTCGGTTTTCCTTCTCTTTCTTCCTCAAATCTTGCATGTTAGCTTTCTTTCTGTCTATTTTAAAATCTTTCCGATTCATTATCTCAGCCAATTTGTTGACAGCCTGTTAAGAAAAAGGAAAACTAGTAAGAAAAATTAGATATGCAAGCATGTTTCATACAAAACTTCTAAGTTCCTCTAGTTATAGGATTCAACCAAAAAAAAAAAATCTTCACCAACATAAATGGCCCTTACTCACAACAGAAGTAATACTGAATAGTACATAGCATTAAAACTTATTCTTTCAACTGTAAATATAACAAATGCATACTATATATCATGATTAATATAAACTTAATCTCAAACAAACTAATAGTTGCACAAAAAACAATAAACTGAAAATATAGCTAATATGCAAAATAATTATTGTTATTAAATGGCATAAAAAGTTATACCTGTGTCTTCAGAGTTCTTTCAGTGTTAATGCTCTTCTCATAATGCATTCTAATATTATTGATTTCCTCCTCATTTTTTATTTTGTATTCTGTTAAAATAATATTCAACTTTGAGATATTTTAGGTCACAGTAAATATTTCTAAGCTTAATCACTTTTACAATTGAATCTTTTCCCCCCGCCATTTCCCTGTTGTGTCACCTGAGGTGCAAAATAGTTTGTCATTATAAAGGTTACTGGTTTAATGCTACTGTAATGATGGAAAAGTACCAGAAGGATATATGAAAAAGGCACCAAGATGAATACTAAAGCCAACATATTTATTTTTGTTTCCTGGTGATGACTAAGTTTGTTGCCCCTCTTCCTTTGTGTACGCACTACCGAAAGTGTTTCTGCAAGATGAAAAATTAAGTCAGTACCCACACAGAATAAGACTGATATGACTGGACTCACATTCAGTACAGATTCTCAAATCAGGTATAAAAACATCATGGGGCTTTCTTTAAACAAGGAACGACTCTTACGTTCCCCCTACCCTTCTCATATACCAGTTACTCAGTTCTACCAATCTTTCCATCATACTTCCAGTCTGCTGATTTGTTCCCAAAGTTTCCAGAATGTACACATTTCACTCATAAGGATTTCTCCACCAAAATTACAAACAGTTAAAGAACAATTTTCAAGTAGTTAAGTAACAAATTCCATAAACTAAAAATACTGAAAACTGCTTGCTCACCCAATCCCTGCTATTACAGAATTGCAAAACTAAGGGAAAATATTTCTGTATGCCTTCCTGCCTACATAATGTTTACAACAACATCGGCAACACAATTGATAAGGCCTTTACTCTCAGTCAACAGATATTAAAGCATGCATTCTGATTTTATAATGCTTGCTCAAATGCAAAACTATGGGAGTAAACTGAAAAATGAAGTAACTTCCCCTACAGTCAGAATGCATGTGAATAGAATGCCAATCCACTGATAGGCATGAGATCACAACTTAGAATCTAAGTGAGATCTTAAGGAAGTGGAAATACTGATACTACTTTACTGTAGATACTGGAGACAGAAACAAAAACTTTAATAAATATATTGTGTGCAATATGAAGCGAGTAAAATACTTTTCCTTAATAACTTCCACACACACAAGGCCATGGCTGCCAGAAGGGCCTTAGCAGACAATATATGGATAAGCTGTTTTCCTGACTCTGCCTGCAGGAACTTAGTGTTAACTTGCTTTATTAAAAGTAGGCAGGACCATGAGCAGAAACTCACTTTTTCTTACCTGCTACAGCTGAGTTTTTAATAGTTTTCAAAAATAAAGGCAGTGTATGGAAATGGAAGCAATACAGTAGAAAGTGGCAATTTACAAGGAAGATACATTTTCACTATGACTTATTTTTCAACAAGCCCAACACAGTAAGGAAGATAAACAGCAATGTCTTCTCCCATTGCCCATTTCCATTTTGCCACATATGCTTCAAATTCAATTATGCTTTATAATAGATGAATTAGAACTCCAAAAACGACATACCTTCCTCCTGTTTCTTAATTTTTTCACTGATCTCTGAATTTTCCTTTGTTATTAAATCAACATCTTTGGTTAATGTGTTATTAGTTTCTTCCAGCTAAATGAAAACAGACACATTTTAAAATAAAGAACTTGCCACTAATTCTAAAAATATTTGTAATATTATTATTTTAAATACCCTTAAATCTACAACAACCATTTACCAGAACACCTTCCTCAGATTATATATAAACAAAAAAATCTGCTTACCTTTCAAACCTGAATTTTTTAAAAATGGTACTTTTCTTTTAAGCTGTCTTGATTTATCAGAAGTGTCAAAATACACCTGTCCCAGAAAGAATTTTTTTTCTTTTTCCAAATTATCTTTGCAGAACTGACAACACTGTGGTATATAATTAAAAACTGAACTTAAGCAAAATTAGATTGTCAGTTATTGAATGGCAATTTTCAATTAATTTATGGTACTTTGAAAGAAGTAGTACCTAGAGGCCTAATCCTCTGAATCCAGACAGAAAAACTCTAGCATTCAAGGCTAGAGTAGATTCATGGTACCTGCTGCTAAATAATTGTCATACATAATGAAAAACAGCTATAAATCAGCATAAAAATAAAAATGAATTTGGTCTAACTCAAAGCATACACAGGTAAATATGTACATAGGTTTGCAAAAAAATAAAACTGAAAGAAAAACCATTACACTTTGAATATATTAGCTGCCAGAAGACACAGTCAGCATCACTTTGCTAATGCTTAAGAAATACATATTAATAATCAGACATAATTGCATTCCTGGAAAAAAGTTTGTTTGAAGCCTACAGAAACGATTGTGTATTGAACTGTCTGACAGTTAAGACACGTGTCAACCTGATGCTAATACTCAAGAGTTACGCTATAAACTATCTTCAAAAATTACAGCTGGGGTTTGTTTGCTTGTTTGAAATAGTTTACCAGTGGGAAGAAACTCCAGACTTTCAAGTTTCTTTTTTTAAAAGATTAAGTAATTTTTCAGTCAGAATCTCTAATACTCAGCTCCACAAAATTACAAGATTTTCAAAATATATTGGGCAATAACAAGAATTACAAAAGGCTTAATAACTGAACTATAGACGTTTGCTGGATTTTCAATCTGGCTTCTCCTCAGATTCATCGAGTCTATGTTTCTTGGTGAGTTTACATGATGGGATTTAAATGTTTAAGGTTCCAAGTGAGTCCAAAGCTCAGATAATTAAGTAATTATCACTTATGACCACTACATGACTTTATGAATTAAAATTAAAAGATAAATCTGTGTTTCCAGCTGGAGGATATACAGGTATTAATTACAGTGGAATAATTTACCCTTCTTATGATGCTGTCCTTATCAGTTATTTCTTGCCTGTGTCTTGATGCTGCTTTTTTGCTCTCCTGACTCAGCTCAAAATACTGTTCTTCAAGGAGTGCTCGTGCCAACCGTTCCGACTCAGCTTTGGTTTCAGCTAAATCCAACTGGGTGGTGAGAGTTTCTCTGTAAAAAGGACAATAAGATTTTGTTCTCCTATGCAAAATGCTCCAAATTTTCAGGAAGACTAACAAACCCAAATTATACCATTCAGCTAATTGTCATTATTTTAGTTTCTTAAGAAAAAGAAGATTTACAAAACCACACTCTGTGTACTTGTATCTTTTGATGGTTCACACAAGCTACAGCAGCAAGATTACTGCCACTCACTTAAGATTTCAATTGTCCATGAAATATCAACCCTTAGGAAACCAGGTATCAAATTCTCCTGCCTTTGAGGAACAAAAAATAAAATTAAATTGCATGTACAGTGTGGTACCTCAAAAGATACTTAACTCTAGCAGTATTAGCTACTGTTTTTACTGCTCTTGAATATGTGTACTCCAGGCTGTTTGAACAATACGGAAAATTCCATAAAATTTCTGAAAACAAACAGTGGTTCTATGCCTATGCAACGTTTTGCAGAAAGGCTTGCAAATTCTATCTACAGCTTGAGGGGCAGGGGATAGTAACTTAGGTGCAGTATCTCATTAATGTATACACAAATTCTAATCAGTTCAGCATACCAGCCAAACTTTCTTGCTCTTGCTTGGAGTACAGGCAGAGCTCCTATATATTTGCCTGCAAAGAAACCCACATAAAGCAAGGTGGCTAGTCTAACACCCATGAGTCAGATGTACCCAGCAACATGTGACACAGCCCACAGCATGCTGAGATAGCAGCAGCCATACATTACTGCAGTATGGGCTCATGATGCCCTTCCTGCACTGCAAAATAAAGAGAGATTTATGGAATAAAATACATATTGCTATGGAGTCCACTGATTTGATACATCTGTAGTTGATAAGGGCCTCTACTGTGAAAAGGTAAGGAAGTATACTCAGAGTCTGTCACAATTTCCATAGTTGTATATAGGTGAAAAATTTTTTATGATGAACACAAGAGTGTGGAGAACAGTGAGGGACTACAATAAAAATAAGAAATAAGAAAAAAGAAAAAAACACAAGAGAACTAAAGGGTCTCTCCTTCCAATCCCTCCCCCTCCTACCCATTTTCTTTTTAAGCTGGATACTATTCCTGAAAAACTTGCATATACAGGTATTTTCCTCCTACATCATATTTATTAACCTAACACCTTTTTTTTTTTCTCCTTTTCTTAGCCCACTGAAATGCACCATGAATACTGTACATAACCACCTCCCTTCAGATTGTTTTGCAATGCTGATGCTCAAGTAGACCAAGAGATCTAGACTTTAGAAGAAAAACTCTGCTTCATGCATAAGGCTACAGTCTCCTGCTTCAGAACAAATATATATTAAATAAACTGAAAAAAACAAGCTTAAAAAACTTCTTTCCTTATTTGCTAACTTAGAAAATAGTACATCACAATTAATGGCCATTGGATTAACTGGTTTTGCTGTAATCAGAAGTGTACTAAACTTAGAATTCAAAGTATTTTCATTATCTTTTCCTCAAATTATTTTATGGACCATAGAAATCTACCAAATAATTATCAGGGGAATATAATCAAATAAAAAAAGCTGTTACACAAACAAGATGATTATCACAATTTGTAATGTTTTTTCAGAATTTTGCATCTTCCTAAATTCTCAGAACTCATCATTCTTCTTCCAGACATTACAGTAGGAATAACCATATTTGGCTTTGTGTGTCAGCACAGGTAACATCCTATGTATTTGCCATTCTAATTTAAATTACCTTTGCATTTTAAATCTGATTCAAAATCTTAATCAATGAGAACATACTACATGGAAAAACTTATGTCTATTTGAGAAACACAATGGGCATACTTTTCGTTTTGCAATTCCTGCATTTTCCTTTGAGTTTCTTTATTCTTTTCATCAATTTCCTCTTTCAGTTCCTTAACCTGAGTTTTGTAAAGTGTCTGTAAAAGAAAGCATAAAAAAAGAATCATTATTCAAATAATACAGTTAAATTCTTCCTTGTTTTCACACTGGTTGGTTTGAACCTGTCAAACCCCAACACATGCTAGTACTGTCTTTAATGGAATTTCCTCTTTCCTGCCTGTCTGAGATGTTTCTTTCCAGTTTCCCTTGTGTAGGGACTTGATCAGATTAGTTTTCAGTTTTCTAGTTTGGTTTCCCATGTAGTTGTACAAACAACTGCTGACAAAAGGGAAGGCAGGCACTAGGACACAGCTGAGTCAGGTCTCTTGGAGACAACAGAACAAAAATGCATCCTCTTGTACCATCACTGTCAAAATGTTAGTCAAACAAACCTAATACTGTCCTATGCTTCCACCTGTTGTATTGTCTGCATCTATGTATCTTTTATCTTAGACTGTAAGTTTTCTGTGTACAGACTGACTATCTTAACTGATTCAATAGAGGTCTGATTTACATAAAATACTTCTGTTCTTAATTATTATATTGTTATTAACACCACCACTAATTCTGAAAGTTAAAATTTTATCTTCTACAGTAAAGTACTTTTCCTAAATATTCAGACTGAATTATGAATATCTCACTTAAACTACATGTTAATGAAAAAAGAGAAAACTGAGAATGAAAAACAACACTCTGGATCTTATTAGCAGTATGTTATGGAGAAATGCACAAAAATCTTTAATGCATAATGAAAAAACAATTGTATGCAGTTTAATAAACAGAAAAATTTTTATTGCCTCTCCAAGGAAGAACCAAACTTTAAAAGTACTTCCCAAAGTGGAATTAAACTGTCCATATTCACAAATGTATCTGAAGTTCAGGTGTTATAGAGCACCTCATGCTACTGTTTCTTTTCACAGAAATGAAACAGATCAAACTAAATCTATGAAATATATATTTTGTCTACCTGCAGTACCGAATAAGACTCTTTGGGGACTCGGGCGCAGAGAAGGTATCTTTTTACAGAAGGATGAAGAATATGTGCAGAATGCTACTGGATCTGTGGTTCTTAAACATACTTATGGTAGATCAATAGCGTGGAATATTTCCCAGTAAGTATGGAGATTTTGAACATCCTACAAAGTTTGCTGTTATGTCAGAAAAGTATCTCTTTTCCAACCTCATGATAGGAACTAGTCTGATGAATAATTCAGATAAGAGTTACTCAAGGTAATATATAAGACTGGACAAACAATACAAAGCAACATATCAGAAAGACTATCTCAAGTTCTCTAATTTCTTGTTCATTGCTTGTATTTCAAGCAGGATTTTGTGAATTGCTAATTTATGCCAGGTTATTTACATTAAGGAAATTTTAATGTCTAACTATTCACTGTTCAATGATTTAATGTCAAAATGTAGCACTCGCAATTCTTTGCAAGTCTTACCGAAAAATACTGCTCAGCTTCAAGCTGATCCTGAAGCTCACGCATTTGACCTTCATTTCCTCTGTACTGTCTTTGAAGGAATAAAAAAGGGATACATGTAAAAACTCAGCTACTAACAAATGACACAACAGTATCAACATTATTTCACAACAGTTTGCTGTATCCTAAAATTCTGATTTAATTACACTCTTTATTCTACCCTGATGATCATTTTAGTATGTGATTAGAAGACAAGAAATACTCTAAATGGAGAAATGTTAAGTCAGCTGAAGGAAGATAAGATAGAAGCCTAACCAATAAAAATTTCTTCAGTCACCTTAAGAAATGTTACGAAAAAGAATCAGATAGTTAAAGGGGAAGAAAGCTATTGACTCCCACGTAGTAAAACAAAAAGCCCTGTACAACTTAATAAGTAGTATCCCAGTCAATCCAAAAAGAAGTCACTCAAATAAAAGTGGCATTTATGCCTTGACATAGAATGATGAGACAAGAATTGTTCTGCATCATAGCTCATAACAAAAATATTCCAACACTGAAGGCTACATACAGAAATCATAACATCCAGCTAAAAATATTCTTTTAGTTTAGGAAAAAATGTCTATGCACTAGAGAACTTTTTTCACTAACAGGAACAGGCAAAACAGTACATGTATAATTAAGCAACTTTTTCCATTTTACTTCAGATTTTTACTTACTTAGCAAGTTGTGCCAACTCAAATTCCAGTAATCTCTTTGCTTCCAACAACGTATTGATTTCCTGTTTCAGCTGCTTCTCGGATCCCTTCAAGTTATCTGCTTCAAAAGCTTGAGCCTTTAATTCATTCTGTGCCATTATTCGCTTATTCGTCTCTTGTTCTAGCTGAAGTGTTAGATTCCTTACCTAAATGAGAAATATTTCAATTTAGGAGTGTTTGCTGAATAACCAATTGCACGTGGTTAAAAGTGTTTCATATATGGATTGTTTTATGTCAAATACCATTGCCTGGGTGCTACACATTATACAACGTGTAAAAATATTCCTAAATCTCCAAACACAGTTCAGGCAGTAATCTCACAGAATGCTGCTGCCCTTACAGAACATAAGGGCAGCATGTTCTGACATGATTCTGCATGGTGATAAAGCTTCCTGTTGTATTGGGTTTGCGTGGCAAGGTTTTGGTAGCGGGGGCAGGGCACAGGGGTGGCTTTTGTGAGAAGCTGCCAGAAGCTTCCTCCATGTCCGACACAGCCAAGTTAAGCTCGGGAAGCAGGGAGGGGTGGGGGGAGGTGTTTTAAGATTTGGTTTTATTTCTCATCATGCTCTGGTCTGATTGGCAATAAATTAAAATTCATTTTTTTCCCAAAGTTGAGCCAATTTGGCCCTTGCCAACAATTGGTGGATGATCTCTCTCTCCGTCCTTATCTCAACCCACAAGCCTTTCATTATATTTTTCTCTCCCCTGTCCAGTTGAGGGGGGGAAGTGTTAGAGTGGGCTTTGGTGGGCATCTGGCATCCAGCCAGGGTCAACCCACCACACCCGCACTTAGTTTATTTCAAAGTACCAAACGTATTTTATTTTATCTGAAAAGCAATAATGGAAGAAACCTAAATTGCCTGCTGAGAGGTCCTGCAAACCTCTTTGTGGATTTCAGATCTTATTATACAAGGAGGTCGGTGTAAGTGAATTTCATTTTCTATTGCTCAATGCAACTATAATTTCTAATTTACATACAAAATTTTTAGTGATGAACTTTTTACTTACTTCATCTTCCAGTCTTTCCTTTTGCTCAAGAAGGTGTTCCAGTTTCTGCTGAGATTGCTTCAGGTCAAAATCCAGCATGGAACACTGTTTTTCAGCTTGAACTATTCGATTTTCTGCCTTTTCTCTTGCTGCCCTTTCTTCCTTTACTTTTTTTTCCATTTCTAAACAAGATTAAGGAAATAAAAACAACAAAAATTAGTATGTAGCATCTGCAAGAATAATTCTGTAAACACAGTCTTAAATATTCTAATATTTTTCAGGCACGTTTGTTCAGCTCTTTAAGCTCTTCTGCTGTTAGACGGACTGATTACTGAGTAAAAAATTCCTGGCATTATTACAAGAAACACTAAAAAAGAAATATATTTCCAAATTGCATTCAAAGCACTGTAATATTATCGTGACAACTGTAAGATAAATAGTGAAAGAAATTTAAAAATGTAGATCTTGAAGTAATCATTATGAAATAAAAGCAAAGTTTCATTTCCATGAACAGATAGTAGAGGGAAAGAAAATAAATGCTACCATTCGTGTTAGCTTTCTGAAAAGTTACAAATTACATATGCAGATATCGATGACCTTCACAAAGAAAACCTGATATATTCAATTAAGATATCAAGACACATCTCTGGTTCATGGATATACATCTATAAAAGAAACGTCAACATTTCAGACAAGCCTAATACAACACCGATATTTTTAATGCAGTTACACAGGAATGAATGCTCCAAAACATCTGTCTTGATAGTGCACGCTTTCAATTCTGTTTAGCATTAGCCAGAGCTTCAAGATTCAATAGCATTTTAGAAGTCAAGGAAGGCTTTGAATTGCGTATGCAGCAAGATGTTCACAACATGAAGAAACAACACTATTTTTATGGTACAAGTACCATGTTAAAGAAAATAATTTTAAAAGTATACTTTTCATTAAGCATGTTTTAAAATTTGGGGTTTTATTTTCCTTATACAAGGGATTAAACACTGTATAAGACTACTACATTATAAGACAATGTGTTTTAAGATACCACGATCAAAATACTTATTATGTATTTACCTGAAACTTGCAAGAAACACTTACCACACATTGCAACTGATCTTGCCTCCTCTATTGACTGATGTTTGTCAGTTAACCGAGCTTTAGTCACTTTATGTTCATTTACTTCCTGTTCTAACCGGTCTTGTAATGATTTGAGTTTGTAGTTCAAATCTATCTCTAAATTATTCTTTTCCTAAAGATAAGAAAAAAAAATACCAGATATCTATACTTCTGTAGTAACTGAGGGAATTACATTTCCTTTCTTCCGTCCTTCAGTGTTAACTTTTTGCTATGAAGAAATTACCAAAGTTTTTTTCCGTGCTTAATAAAGAATGGTAACATATAAAAACTGTACTCAGTGCTCTGGAGAAAACTTCATTAACTTTTTTCAGTAGTCTATAAATCCATACGATAATGGAAACTTCAGTTTTAATAATTTCTAGTCACCTAAACTGGAAACATACAACTAATCCTCCAACACTATCAGAGCACAGAGGTATTTAAATGACTTGTTACCTGGATGCAATTCTGTTATTTCATTGTTGGGATTGCCAGACGTTAACAGTAACTTGTGAAACAAGCACTGGAGATGAGCTTTGAGAGACAGGGACTTGCCTTTGGATCGTTGCTCCACTTAACACCAAATGAGAATGGTAACGGCTTGCACCTTCCCTCATAGATAGTCATATCTCTCTGGTTCATTTGGATAGACCACACAGCACAGCAAGTCTTTACCTGACCTCAAAACACAGAGCTAACTATGTAGCCTAGCTGGAAAAAGGGTGCAGGATTTCCTTTTACTCTTCTTTATTTGTTTCTCCATCTTGGAGCAGGGATCAGAGATATTAGGGGAACATGCTGCTACCATTCTTTAGGAAGGAAGGAAAGGAAAAAACCTGAAATGCTCCAGCTCCAAAGTTGATCAAAAAGTCTTTCACTGATCCAGCCAAATTAAAATCCAGTAAAAGCAGAAATTTAAATTTCAGGTTTTTAAAAAGTTCAACTCATAGATTTTCAGGAGGCCAGTCTCTGCAGCGATAGTTAGGCAGATATAACAAAAATTACTTGCTACTGGCAGAAGGGTTGGATCCTTGAATCAGTGATAGAGAATGACAGATATTAATTTTACACCCAAAGCTACATACAAGTAAAGAAATACTTGAGGACTTGTGATACTTACCATCCTGATGAGATTGTAAATTAGCAGTATTTAGTTAATCATTTTAACAAAAGACTGTTTTACAGCAAGAACACAGGACTTAGCAACATCAATAAATACTATTTGAAATACAGTCAAAAGCTGCCAAGGAACATTAGCCTCAATATCATTTTACCATACCTTTTCCGAATGATTAAGCATATCTTGTGCTTGTTTTCTTTCTGCTTCCACTCTTTCAAGATTGTTTTTAATGTTTTTTACTTCTTCTTGCAAAGTTGTAATCCGAACTGCCAATAACAAATGAAGTATCATTCAATATTAGTTATTTGACTTAGATCAATAGCCTTTTCAACCTTTATTGATTTCTGGGCCCCTAAAATATTTACACTTTCAAGTTTTTCAGGTACACAAAGTCTGTACGTTGTAAAGGAAAGTGATCCTTTCAGCCACGCCTTATGCATGCCATTAGTAACAATACACAAAACAATCACGTGCAAAACTTGGTACCTGCCTTCCATCACTCCCAATATCTAATATGCACCAAGGCAATAAGTCAGTGTTGTGCCTTCTCTAGCATTGTGTCAGCTTTTCATATTTTTTGTACCACTGGACTCCAGACATTTAGTCAGGACAGCCCCACAAACTTACAATCAGTGGTTTCCCACTCTGATTTTGACTGTCTCCTTCCCAAGAGCTGCTCAGACATGATCAGGAAGCAAGATCCAATATTTAGAAACTGTTCTATTTAGTCGTACTCAGTCTGCAGGTTGGCTTTCCTCCCTTTATGTAACAGTACTTTATTTAATAAAGTAGGGTTATCACAACTTTTTTGGTAAAGCATAAATACAGAAGAATTACCCTGTAGTTCTCCAATCATTTCAGATCCGTGACTTCTGTCCCTTCGTTCCGACTCCAAAGCCGCTTGCAGTTGGTAATAATCTTTCTCCACCTGCAGTTTTGTGCTTTCTAGAACTCTGCACCTTTCCTGCAGTTCTCTATTCAGTGACTCTACCTGACTTAATGACTTGCTCATTTCTGTGTTACCCTTTCTCAGTCTTGCTGCTGTATCCGATTCCGTCCTCAGCAAATCATTTGCTTCTTCTAGCTGTTAAAATACAACAGACAAGATTCTCCAATATAAAAATTATTTGGATCAGTTTTGTTGTAACTGAATGCTCAATACTGCTTCTCAAATCTAAAAAAAAAAGAATTAAGACAATGAACAGAAGCAACATACTTGTTTTTGTAACTGTGTTATCTTCTCATTTGTAATTTGAGAATGCTGGCTGATTTTTTTCAAGTCTTCCATCTGATCTTTTAGTGTGGACACTAAAGAGAAATTATACCATTAATACATCAGATTGAAAAAAAATCCTTAGTGTTTTGGTTTTTTTCTATTTTACGCAAACATACATACTCAAATGAATTATTGGCATATAATAGGTCTTTTGTTGGCTTTTTGCTTATATACATTTTTAGGTCAAATACTGTGCTTGCAGAACAACAATGCACACTGTAGAGAATAGAATTTGAAAATAAGACAAAAATACTGTGTTCTCATTAAAACTCAAATGAACTCAAAATTTGTGTTAATCATTTGAAAATATCCCTTACAAGCTGCGTAGCACTTAAGATGATAAGGTAGCAAATTATTCACCGAAATGCATCATACACCTCATCAGTGTCCATGTTTGGACAACATGGCATACCTTCGTTCTCCACATTCCGTCTTTTTTCATTCTCTTGTTCAATTTTTCTTTGGTACTCATTTATCTTATGCTGCAATACCATCTTTTCCTTCTCAATCTGAGACACTGTAGATTCCAAGTTCTTTCTTTGATTTCCCTAAAATTAGAAGCATTGTTAATTTCTATTTACATTTAAAAGAATGATCCCCAAACCAGTATCTCTGCAACTAATTAATCAAGGAAACGGATGCATTGTTTCCAATGAATGAGTTTCTGCCTTCCTTGAAAAGGTTGTCAGAAACGATGGCTTTTTCAACTTCTACATGACAAATCTATGATATTACTGGAAAAGTTATTGTAAACATTATTGTATGCATGTAACTATCAAAATTATTAAGAGACAACATAAGAGACAACAAAATCATCTGTACATGAATTTTTAGAGTAACCAATTTTGATAAGCTTCAAAGAAATCACGATAAGCAAGACTTAAGCAGAGGAAACTGCTATTCAGAATTCAGCATGATTTGCAAAAAGAAGAAGTTTTGGAAAATTTGTACCAAAAAAAAAGAAAAAGTATCTCCCAATGCTATGTATTGAAATGTGATGGTTTGGTCTCAAATTTAAATGCAGAACAATATTTTAGTCACAGAAGAAATATCCTAAATCATGGAAGTACTATCCACATTCTTTACTCAACTAAGGAGACTTTATTGAGGAAAAAAAAAATTACCTCTTCATCCAGTTCTTTTATTATCTTGTCTAGCTTTATATTTGAAGATCTAAAAATAAAAGAAAATCATTTAAGTAATATTTGAGAAGGATACATTATACATAGTATTTTTCTAGTGAAATTTGGACTCTCATTAAAGTAAACATTTCTATTTTGGCTAAGGCTATTTTGTAATAAACATTTAAATTGAAGAAAATAATCAATCATTGGAAATAATTTGTAAAATATATTATTAGGTATTTATCAACTTTGCTGCAGATTATATATGCATTTTATATATATATAACATATATAGTTTATATTATATATATTTAAAACATATTTACAATATCTGTATTAAAATATTTTTATATATATATTTTCTCCTTTAATCTGCAAATGTCAAAACAGCGTACGTACATAAAAGCTTATCATTAGAACTAGAATACCTTGGTGAACTGCTAAAACTTCCTCCATCTGTGAACTTTTAAAAAATCTAAAATGGTTCATTAATTCAAAAGTAGACAGCTCCCTATTATGGATAAAGATATCTGAATAACATTATTTGAAAGTCTCTCTGTTGAAGCAATGTATTAGAACATAGTACTATAGAGAGAACATGGTTGAGTGCATAGTAAAACCTCAATGACACTGACACATCCATTGCACTTTGGCAGCTAGCTATCCCTCTTCAAAGAGATAACAAAAAGCACCCAGACTATGTTGCCTGGCAGGTACAACAAGGAGCAATTACAGCAATATATCCTAACTCTGCAGTAAACGGTCCGATGCACCAGAACACACTGTTGTGCTCTGATAACTTCAGTAGCACTGCAGGAAGACAGTTCCTGACTATCTTTCAAGCAATGTAAGTCCTGCTTGTGGAAAGCAATCAGAACATGTGAAGTTATGTTTAAGTGAACAACAGTGGCACACAGTCTAAATTCCCACCTGATAATTTTGGCTACCAGTTCCCACTTAAATAGCTTGTACAGCTATACCCTATGGTCCTAATTCACAAGCCTAAATTCTTCTTATGTCCTATACGCAGTGTTGCCTCCTGGCTTTATTTAGGCCTTCAGGAAAAGACTTCAAAAGGAAAAGCTAACTGAAAGGGAATTTAGTTGGCATCAATCTGAGTAAAAATTTCTAATTATCAGCAAAGAAGAATCTCAACTGTTTGTTCATAAGTCTAGTTGCAATAAACTGACAAATTCTCATGTAGGTACTTCTTCAACATGGTAGAAACAAGACTTCAGAAAGTAAATAGTTGTTCATATCTATCAGTCACAGAAAAAAAAAAAAAAAAAAAAAAAAGGAATGTGGTTTTCCAACCAGTGCCATGTATTTAGAAACCTGACAGTTAATTTTAATAATCCAATATAGGCTGTATATACAGTACTTTATGTTTTTTTAAAAATCAGCATGATCATTGTGTACCTCAGTCCGATAAACATCTGAATTCAGAGTACTGGGTAAATTCAAACATTCAAGTGTTCAGGAAGAATGTCTTACATAGGTGCCAAAAACCAAAACATTTTCTTCATACTATATTCAAGAAAACTATTCAAATATTGTTTTAGAATGACTTAAATCTGTGCCTGGAATTCCCTTGGAGAACTACATTACCATTCTTAGTGTTACTCTGGTAATCCCTAAAGCAGTAACACAGAACTGAAGTGTTAGATGTATTTAAATTATATAAACAATTAAAGTTCAAAGTCTCACCTGCACTTTTGCTCCATTTCATCTTTCAGCTGCATTTCATTATGTAGTTGTTCTTCCAATTCATAGATCATCTTCTGCATATTTTCCAGCTTTAAATATATATTTGTACATGAAAGAACATGCATTAAATTTAAAAACTTCAAAAAAGTATTTCAGAATATTCAGTGCTGCTTATGCTGTATCACAGCTTACTCACTTCTACCTAAACACTAGATTTTTATATTATTATGTGATCCCCCTCTCCAAATTCTAGAGAAGTTAGTTACAAGAAACAACTTTAATATTATGCAGTTTTATAATTCAAATGCACATAAAATTTCAGGGTTCTGTCAAAATTCATGAGACTAAGCTAAGTACAATCTTCCTCATTTTAAGTATCTTCAGAATCAGACTAAAGATACTACTGCAAAGATACAAGAAAGCATTTTAACTAGTCTCAAAATTTCTTTTTCTAGTATGAACCACCACATGTATTTTGAAGGGCATCTTCAAGCTCTCAACAAGTTCAGGAAGCACAACCACACCTGTCAGTTATTAACAATGGGGGGAAAAATGTTCTTAACTATTTAGTCAGAAATAATTTTTACAGCTAGCACTTTCAAACAAGCTTCAGGTGTTAATACAGAACATGACTGTACAGCATGTACTGTTTGCCAGCAAGATGAATTCTGAAATTCAGTCTTTCATGTAGTCTCAAAATGTCTACCTGCCACTGGATCTCTGGGCACAATAATCCCACTCCAACATCAGCAAAATCCTCAATTAACAACAAGACGGTGTCAACTTTGAGGAAGCTCATGAAATCAACCCTGTGCTGGGTTTTAAACCTTTTCACTGATCTTGTCAGGATTTCAGCCTTATTTAGCTTTCCCACATTTCCCTCAACTCTCTTGGAACTGCAAGAGCAGAATTACAGTCCTAACATAGACAATCTTCAAAGCAACATACTCAAGTGGTTCTGACCCTTTGCTTTTTTGTTCCTTGTTCTAACTTCAAAAACTCTGACAACTGCCCGACTCCTTTTGCACAATCATCCCAGAAAAAGGAGCAACAGAAAGTTCCTCCTACATCTGCTCTTCCTTTTTCCCTCCCCCCATAAAATATGCTTAAAGAAACTAGAATTGCTCCCTAAGTTCATGAAGGGGAGACAAATTATGCTTGTCTCCATCTTTCTTGATGGTAACAGTAAGTGTTCTCAACAAGGAGTGCCCTCTATACGGTCCTAAACTAAGATTTCAGTTTGGAGACATATTGTAGCATGATTTATCCTTATTAAATGACGAAGTTATTGGCGAGATTATTTTTGCCTACTTCCAGGCAGGCATTTTTCTTACTTCCTACTTTCATCAATCTGTTCTCCTTCCCATTGTAGCAGGAAATAAAGCATGCGGCACTCAGGTGCTCTTGAGAACTGGAGTTTGTCTCTTATTTCCTCCTTTTGCTTTCTTTCATGTTCTTAAGCTGCTTTGACGTTTTCAGAGGAAAAACTCAGACATGGTGACTGGGGACTAACTAGAAACTACGTATTTTAAATATTCACCACTATACTTATTTACCCTCAGACATGGTGACTGGGGACTAACTAGAAAATATTCACCACTATACTCATTTACGACTACCTATCTCAAAGCCCTGAAAGAGCAAGGAAACACTGGAAGAAATAGACTTCCCAGCACTTACTGGAAAATCAATTACCAGTGTGATATACAACATAACACCATGTAGAAAAGACAATGGTCGTAGTCAAAAAACACAGAGATGGCCTCTAAATCTAAACTCTGAGGAAAAAGGAAGGAAGACCACTACACAACACATTTATCTGCTTGGTATGAACCACTGAGAAATAAAGCAAGAAGCAAAGCTATTTAAAGGCTAGCTCTCACTTTGGTAAAAAGGGACCGCAGCTAATAGGCAAAAACACAGGGTAAAGAAGCTTCGATGTAATTGCCCTTCCATTTCTTGGTTACTCATTTTATAGGTGAGGAACAGGAAAAGTGTGCTTACAGCAGAGAAGCCAAGAAAAATCCCTCTGGAACTGCTATACCATTTTTTTTTTTCCCCCATCCCCTTAAAAAAAATCACCATGGCATAGTGTGTCTGGTTCTGCATCCTGAACAATGAAGAAAACCAAAGACTCAGTGCAAAAGAAACTGTTAATCTCCTCTTTCTTAATATCTGAGCTGTTTACAGGTGGTAATGGTAGCACTAAACCAAAGTAAATAAACAGATCTTCAAAGGGGTCTGAAATTCAGTTAAAGGAGATAGAATTCAATTGTTCTCCAACTTCATGGTCTAATTCTGTGAAGTTTTACACACCTGCTAAATGTAATTAATTTCTTCAAAATTTCTGCCACTCAGTCCCTCCCAAAAGACACTCAATATCATGCCAAAATGCAGACAGACCAGATAACATCATGTGTTAATATTTCCAGAACTAATTAATTTGCTAACCATGTGTTAACATTACCGTTTTCATTGCAGCATGTAATGAAAGAAAAACAGCTGAGAAAAAACTGTGGGGTAAAAATAATCTTGTAGTAAAGACTTAACATTTATTTAAACCTCTCTATATCATTAATATCGTTCCAGAGTTTCACCTCTCAAAACTGTTAAAAATCACAAGTCATTCAAATACTCCTGACAATATGAACAGGACTCTTGAGGGATCTTTAACTACATGCAGGTGGCTGTATCCCACTAATTATACCAAGTCCATTCAGTAACTCTCTTCAAAGTCAAAGGCCAGCACACAACTTTAAGTATCTGCACATATTTGAAAGTCTGGTTCTGTTTTTAATTTTACTATATTAACAGCCAAATGCTTAAGAGGAAAACAAAACTTATGGAACATATCAACATATATAAGGAAATCAAGACACTTCAATGCTTAATAAGTTCAGTTAGCCCAATAAAGCACATAATCAGTTCCCTTGCCCTTTACAAATTTTCTCTGGGTAATACCATATACCATTAAAACCTTTATATTGCAAGTTTAAGAGAAAAGGGAACATGTATCAGTTATTTGCTTCTCTTCTACTTTAAATGGAAGACATCATAGAAAAAAATACTAACAAAGAAAATCATAGTCAAAGCCAAGAAGATTTATTTTAGAGTTAATTATCAATTTTTTTGTCAGTGTTTTCTTCTGGAAATAATGTAATTTGTAAACTATCAAACCATTTTAAGGGAATGGCTTGATTTACACCAGAACTCACACAGAATCCAAGCAGGCCTCGTTTCCAGCACCTCAGCGTACACTCCTGGAAACCTGATTGCCAAGAAGCTTGGGAAGCAGTAACTAAAAGAATTCCTGAACATTTCTTGCTAGGTGAACTGCCCTAGAAATGCAGATCCTCAGTGCCCCAATTCCCAACAGCTTGTGATGCACCCTTGGGATGGGACAGAATACCCAAGCTTGGTACATTATCTGCCACCTCCCACTTGGTTCATAGGAAGTCCAGCTCCAGTATGAAACTGGCGGGTTGCTGGAAAGCCCAAGCTTCCCATCACACTCATGTCCAGACTTCAAGATTGTCACAAAGCCAGAGTACATCTGGGATCTATAAGGCACTCCAAAAATACTGCACAAACACTTTCATATTTCTAAAAATAGAAACTGTGAATCCAGTTCCACCAAAAGAGTATGCAGCTTTAGCTATTTTATCCCAACTCAGAAAAATCAATGTTATATGAAGAACTGAAATTCTGCTTTTCTAATAACTTTAATAGGCAGGTCATACAAAACTGTTACAATTTATGCATTGATTTTCCATATTCCAAGCACTAAAATAACTTGAGATATTTAGAACTAAAATAATTTATTCCCATATACACAATAGACTCTTTACTAGGATCCAACAATGCTGAAAATCAGTGAAACATACCACACTTTTATCCACACTGGAGCCTGTTCTGTTATCATTGGAATTTTCTGCAGAGACAGCTAAATACCTGTAAGAACATTTAAAAAGTTTTATTTTAATAGTTGTTTAAAAATAAGGTCATGAAAAAAACAGAGTACAACCACCCTAAAACATAATCTCTGGATTTTTTGTTCCAAAATGTGGATAACCTAATAGTAACAATCAGATTTTTTTTTCATTTCTGTATTTATTATCCTTTAAGATTTTAGCAAATTTAATTGAAAAACCTCACAAAATTTATTGTAAAGGGTAAAGTAGAAAGTTGCAGCAGACCTCCAGAAAAAAAGGATTTCTGCCAAATACTAATACAGCCACTTTTAGTTTTTTTCATAGCCATTAAAAAAAAAAATAAAATCTTTGCTTTCCATGGTTACAAGACTCTCATTGGCTTCCATCCCATAAATATTTACTCAGGCACTTATGCAGCAAGTAACAGCAATGAAGCAAACTCTTCAGAGATTGTGTAACTTTCAACAAAGTTACTAAGAGTTCCACGCACAAAACGTTTGTAGTGAAGACAGAATTCTTATTTTACATAAGTTTTTTCAAAAAATACCACAAATTTCTATTCATCATGATTCTGAAAAGTCAGGTATTACTGACTGTAATGCACAAATTACTATCATCAAATTCCTTTGTTATTTGATATGATATTCTTGGCCTGATAACTGTTCTAGAGAGACATAAAGCATCTCTAACTGCATCAGATTATGTGAGGAAAAACTCTCCAACACATGAACAGAGGAAGATGGACACATCCTCTTTTTTGTTTCACATGCATTATTTTGAAATAAACAACAACCTCTCCAAAAGATCAAGGAAGGTCAAATCAAAGACATCTCTAAAGCAAAGGTCAAATTAAACATCAAGACAGCCAAATGACAAAGTGGAAATGGAACAGTTCTCTACAGAAAGAGGCTTGCTGTCTTGAATACAAGAAGCCACCATATTTTGTACACTAGGGCTGTTGAGCAGTAAGAATGTGGTATTTAAACAGGCATAGCACCAGCTCCATCAGAATACAGAAGAGCACACACAAGCCAGATAGGGCTGCAAAGTGTGCTCAGCTAGTATTCCAAAATCTGTTACAGGTGAAGTTCGATAATAAACAACCATATTTCCTAGTTTACAATCAATGAGATTACAGATGTAGAAAGCATTCTATACTAAAAGATTTTCTACTTCCTTTAAAGACAGAAGTCACATCATTTACCTAGACTGTCATTTCTTTAAACTCTCCAGCATACATGAATAAGAGGAAACTGAAGGAAAGGGAGGAGATAAATGTGCAACTTTTTTCTGAATGTGCCATTTTAAAAATGTTTCAACTATTTTCAATACAAAAAGGAAATACAAATTAGTATTGCAGGTTCAGCAAGTATGAATGATCACTTCAGACTCTGACACTATTACACCAGTAGAGTATTACAGGACAAAATCCTATTCAAGGACAGCAATTTAATTCTAGTAAGCCTACGAAGTTATGAGGGTATTTAGTATCAGAATTTTTCAATGACAGCAAAACACAGCCACTTAGCTGTCTAAATTCCTGATGTCCCCCAAGAAAGAACAAGGGGAGAGAAGAAATTCTGTTATTAACAAGCTTCTGTATGCTACTTCACTTTCTTGATAATATATACCAAAATCTTCCTGCAAGGCAAAAACTAAGACTTTTAAAAATTATAGACTAATATCAGATCGGTTGGTGAAATTTCTGAACTGCTGAACTCACACAAATCCTAAGCAAAGCTTGCAAGTCCTCCTATGCCTTACTATACAGAAAGCAACAACAAATCCAACTCTTTGCAGAGCTGGAAAGAATTTCACCACAGGCTTGGAATAGTTGTTCCTCCTTCCATCCAAGGACAAAAACCAGATTTATTTCCTTTAAGGCTTTCCTATCCAGAAATGCTATTAAAATTAATAGTCTCTGTCTGACATGGTCTACTAGAACTTTTAGCCCATTTTAAGCCTGACTGACACCCACCACAATTAAAACCAGCTTTCAAAGTAAGAAAAAGTTATTGAGATTTTTGAAGGTAGATACAGCTATCCATAGTGCCTACAATAATAATGACTGTTAAAAGTATGAATTAATATAATTTTAACTTATGTAATTTAAAGTCTTCTAAGCAACAGTGAAAACTGTAAAACATGACAATCTCAGTCTGCAGTGGATGAGTACTCGGGGCAGGGAGAGGGGCGAGAAAAGTTATGAAGCAGGTAACAGGTAAGTAGAAAATATTTAATTTATCACATGCTAAAACACCGATGTGAAGTATAGAATATTCATATATAGCTCAGGAACAGCAGCTTGCACCAAAACAAAGTGACATTCATATCCCCAGTTCATGACTCTACATATATAACAGTGTTCTGCAGGCACTCTGCTTAGTAGCTGCAACAGTGGATTTCTCTTACTTAGCTTATGCAACACCACTATATAATGTTCTTAATGCAGAATAAGACATTCACAAATTCCCTGTGGTAATGTAAGGTACTGATGACTAGCGGTACTAGTTATCATTACTGAAGTGTCAAAACAGTATAACTTATTAGGATTCTGAATCATTAATAAGAATCTGAAAAGGTCTCTATCAAAATACTGGTTGGTAAGAGGCAGAAATAGTGTTGTCAAAAGAATAAACCATTAGCCTGCTTCGTGCATACGTACCGACGGTTGCTGTAATATGTAAATCCTACAAAAGGAAGTTGGTTGCCCACAAATGCTTTTGGTATGGGAAATGTTTCCTCCTCTCCTTTGTCTTCTTCCAGATCATCAAAATTACTAGTGTCAATGTCACTACTTAAGTCAGGCACAACTGGTGCTACAGCTAGAAAAAAAGCAGAACAGTATGATAATGATTGCTGTATTTCTTAAGTGACACAATCAAGAATTTTTGGGAGGAATTTTTCTTTGGGGTCTAATCTCATTCCTTGGTACAGAGTAAATAAAACTTAAAATTCCATTACAAAGAAATTTGGCAGTCCTTTTGCTAACATAATACACAAGTAAAACGGATTGCTGTCTCTGAGAAAAGCATTATACTTACTGTCTCTGAGAGTTTCCCAAGCCCATTGATCATTTTTGAAGAAAAGGTGCCGTTTAATTTCTTCTACGCCA